AACTTTTAAAAATAAAAGACTAATGGGCCCAAGGCCCAACAACTTCTTAATTTAAAAAAAAAACAAACTAAACATAAATCGGCCCAACATAAATCAGCCCACTCAACACCCCGCACTAGCAGGAACCAAGATCCTCGTGCAATGGACTTCCCTTAATCAATAGATAGAGAAAATACATGCATCCCATGGAGAGGCATAAGATGCAACCTCTCCTTTAAAAAGATTACAGAATCGCAAAGCTAATCAATGTAAAGATTACAAAGTAGACCAATATAAGGAATCCCAAGAAACCCCTTGTTTAGTGAATGAATCAACCAAAGTATTTGTTGTCCTAACCACCCATTGAATTCTGTCATTCTTCTAGTCAGCCTTTGACCTTTTTGAGAAGATCCCTATAGCACCAAATAACAAAATCAAGGTCCAACAGCCAACCCACAACCACCTTAGAATCACCTTCAATTAGTAAATTCTCCACCCCAATCTGGTTTGCAAGCAGGATCCCTTGCCCTTGTAGAGTCTCCTATTCCCACTAGTCCAGAAAACAAGGATAAGATGTTACTGTCCTTACCTCTCAAAACCCCTCCTATCCCAAAAGCTTCCTGGTTACCCTGACTACTGTCAAAATTCAGCTTAACAAAGCCTCCAAAGGAGGTGTCCTCCCTGGTTTAATTCTTCTCCTCTTAGAAGAAGTATTAGCCATTGCTACCCAATTCCTCCAAAGATTATCGAATGAAAAGTTATCAATGAACTTTAAGGTGTTCAACACTTCAGCCAATGAATTGTCCTGTCAAAATGCTTTCCTTGACTTCAGAAAGAACTTCATTCCTTCTCTTGAAAAATTCTGGTATTCCTTAACAGCTGCTCTAATACATCTCCACAGATGCACTTCAGATGGCAGGTTCCATCTGCACCCAAATAAACCAAAAATCCAAATCCAAATAGCTGCAACAAAAGAACAAGATACCAGTAAGTGGTAACAGCCCTCATTCTGAGCTTCGCAAGAGTACACCAATTTGGGGATAAGCCTACTCTCTCTCATTTTATCACTTATTGGAGCTACTCCTAGATTTCTATGGATGGCTTCATTCCTGATCCTATCTTTTCTAATTTTTCCACTCATCCATCTTAGCATTCGCATTTCTACCACACTCATTTTCTGAACATAGCTGGCCTTACAGTTGTTTTATAGAATTATTTTAGCTGGATCTAAGTGGCACTCTCCTACCACACAAAAGTCCAAATGCAGCTCTCCATTTTGCCCAACCTGCTCTAATTCTCTGGGTGACATCCTCCTCAATCTCTCCCCATTATCTCTTGGTCTCCAATCCTAAGTGTATCATGATTTGCACTCCTATTATTACTAAATTTACATGTCAGATCTTCTGCTTTAGTCCTACTTATTTTAAAAGCCTCTTGTTTCTAGGGCATGTATCCATAAGCTTAATTTTGCATTTAATCCTTCATTAAATTCATCAATTAAAACAATGTCATCCGCAAAAAACATGCACCATGGAACTTCTTCGTGAATATGTTTAATCAATTCATCCATGATTAGTGCAAATAGATAAAGGCCAAGTGTTGAACCTTGGTGAAGACCCATTGTAATTGTAAAATCTGAAGTCTCTCCCACTAGTATTCTAACATTGGTCTATATACCTTTTTTCTAAGTAAAAAAGAAAAACCATTAATAGAAAAAAAAAAAGTAGTACATCCATGATATAATAAAAATGGAACAAAAAGAAATACAATTTCAAATCTCCATCTCATGGATTTGTAACCCCACCACGTCCAAAATCTATCTCCTAGAACTTCTCCCAACAGATGAGATACCTTAGGCAATATCAAGGCCAAAAGGCCCAAAACTAAAGCAGGTTTGCCTATTGCCGACCTAGTTGTCCAACATCCATTCCTTGTCTTAAGAGATTCCTCAATTCCTTACTAACATCCTTTTTCTACCATCTCGAAAACCCCCCAACAGAGCAGGAAACCAGCCTCATTTTTGTCTTCCCTTCTTATTATCCCATGTAACTTTCTTCCACCAATCCTTCCGCTCTTCTTCAACCCAATTATTTTCTTTCTCTTCTCCTTCCTCCCACTCCTACCCTCCCTCCCCAACTGGTTCTTTCTTATTCTTTTCCTCAGACTGAAAACCCCAAATTAATCCAGCCCTCTGCAATTTTCAAACAAGCCTTCTAACAAATCAAAACCAAATAAGCTCAAAATCCTTCCACATACAAACAAAAGCCAAAGCCCATTCCTAAGACTTGTCTCCCATCTTTCCAAAACCAATCAGACAGACACCCATCCAAACCACTTACCAAATGCAAATCTCACAGCCTTCCTTCAAGTCCTTCATCAGTAGGAGTTGGCACATCTTTTTTCCAATTCATAGCTCTTCTTGTCTTCTTGACCCTTTTATTTATAAAAACTCCAAATTGGTCTCCCCTTAATCTAGTAAAAACCTTTGAAACTATCACATTTCGGTTCTTATTCCGGTGCTTAAATCTATTCACCACATTAGGTAGGATCTTATCGTTCTTCCTCCCCCCCCCCCATTATCATTAATCCTTTCCAGCTCTATGACTGTGTTCTTCTCAAATACTTGCTCTGCTGACAAGCCCACTTCCTTCTCCACTTCATAGGAAGAACCTTGAACCTCAGAAATTGGAAAATCCTTCCCATCAAAATGGAAGGTGATGCACCAACATCATCATCCATCAACTCCCCAAACTTTTCCAAAGTTTGCACTCAACCCACGTGATCACTTGCAAAATCATGTGGACCACCTTCTCCCAACTGACCAAGATCCTAACAAAACTCAACCCCCTGGTTTTTACTCCCTTCACCCAGTTCATCCATACTAATCTTATGTTGCAACTTTTCTTCCTGTGGACCCCACCTTTTATGTAAAAAGGCACCCTTTTTTACACTCTGCAAAAGTCTTAAAACCTGCCCCTCCATCTCTATTTTCACCTTCCTAAGGAACTTGACCCTCAAGAATCTTACCTTTCTCCATTCTCTCCCCCACAGGTTCTCCATTCTTCCAAGATTCCATCCTCTTCTACCTTGGAGCAACTCTTCCATAAGACCGCTTGCCTTCCAACAAAACCCAAACCTTGAAGGCTTGAACCAGAGACCATCTACAAGCAAGTCCAAAGCTCAAGGAACACCATCAAGTTTTATTCCCTCAATCCTAAGTCTCGCAGAATGGAAATCTTGAAGATTAAAGGCAACAAGAACTCCCCCCCAAAGTTTGTACCAATCTCTTAGGAACGATTTCGTTCCAAACGTTGAAAGGAAGCCCCACCAGTTGTAGAACAAAGCTTCCATCAGAGAAATCCTTCTGGTTGCAGGACATATGCCAAGCTTCCACCATCACCAGACCGTCCACCATTTCCACCATCTCCACTGCAGATAACTCGATATTTTCTTTTTCAAGAACCAGGACTGTCTTCCTACCATCAAAAAGGCTTGAGGCTAACAGAATCCGAAAGCTTAAATTTCTCCACAGATGCTTCCAAAATTCTCCCCTAACCATTTATAACTTCGCCTTCTGTTAAAACAAAATTTCTCACCCAAGCATCTTTCTCCACTTCAAACATCATATTCTGGTTTTTTTGGTGGGATACCTTCTTATGGTAATCTTTCCTTCAAACTCTCCCTGCTCCTCTGGACTTTTCTTGGCTCTAAACCAATGCCCCACTTCTGCCATTATTTATCTTCCACCCTCAGCATAAACTCTTGAAGCCTATCTGTGAAAGTATTCCAACCTGTTTTCTCCCTGTCCTCCAGCACAGATTATCTTCCTCCTATTATTACCAAACTGTTTCATAATAGCAACAAACCACCCTTTAATGTTCCTCATTCCAGCTTCATACTTCTTTCCAGACAAACTCACTGAACTCTTCCATCCTGTTTGTTGATGGAATGAACCGCCCCATCCATGAAACCCTTCAGCCATCCAATTGCTTCCACAAACACGAGAATGGTTGCCCTATTCTCTTCCCTGATTTTCACTGATCACTTCACACTATTTTTGCAATCTTTAAACCGAATTTTTTTGGCTTCGATCTCCAACTCTCCCTTCCTTCAAACTGAGATTTTTCGGCTTCCAAGAGGTTTTCTGTTTTCCATGCATAAACCATCCTTGGCAATCCTTCAAACTGAGATTTTGGCACAAGATATGAACACCACATATGGTGTGATGATATTTCATTGAAGAAGTGATTCCCTAATCTGTTCAGCCTGCCTGAGATTTTGCTTACAAACATTGCCAATCGACAAATGATTTAGCTTGAAAATCCTGATAAAAAAGCTTGGATAAAAACAAATTAAATGGGATATCTGCACTTTTACCTGTATCCATGTCCACCTCAACTCTCAAGTCACAGCAAGCTCTTATAGTAGCAAAGGTAAAGTAGCTATACTCCACAAAAAAAAAAAAAAAAAACAAAAATGAAAGAAAAAAAATCCTCTCAGCTAAATATGGCAAGCTTCTGAAAAAGCTGTTTGCCTCAGCCAATAAAGGAACAAGAAGCCCAAAAATGCTAATAGTTTAATTCCGTAAAATCTGGTCTTATAAACTGACTCATGAATATCATAAATCATAAGATTTGATAACTATGGTTCAAACCACAACAGGTAGAAAAATCCTCCTTGTGGCATTTCAATCAACAATAGGTAGAAAAATCCCTCAGTTGGCTAAGAAGTTCTAGATAGTTCAGGATCTGCTGTGAAAAACCTAAACAGGAACATATCTAATTAGGTCAACTAAATAATTAAACTTTCTTATGACACCTCCGCAATTTTTTCCTGATTAGTAACAGAATAATATATTAGCCTAGATAACCATGATACCCCTCAACTTTTTGGTTGTTAAGTTAATGAAATTTCAGTGAATACAAGATGGGGGTGGTGATGATGATATTCATTTTATGAATAACATGATCGTACAAATAAATATAACTAGACTGGATAAATGGTGAAAATGATGTGAATACCTGTCATACAAACGAGCAGCTTCTTCTTGTGATCCAACAGTACCCAAGTGGATTTGCTTCTTGTCAACTTTTATTGCTGCTTGCCATTTCATATTCTTAAAATAGACACCTCTCATTACACAAGGTTCCTGGTCTTCAAAATGTTTTCTCCGATGTCGCTTTCTGCGTTTGACTCCTTGACCTAGAAATAGAAGCTGCAAAGTTCAGTGCATGGCAGCATAAAGAACTCTTTCCCATTCTATATATTGGAGTACGTGTAGGCATGCCTATATGAGGAGTGTTTTCAACTAAAAAAGTGCAGACGATCACAAAATACCTTATTTAATAAATGTCATCGAGAAAATTAATGGATATGTGGTCATCAAAAAATAAATTATAAGGAAGAAAAATGTGTTTCTCAGTAACATACATAGTTTTCAAGGCACCAAAGAAAGGCTAGCCGACAGGAGTGCACTTTGTCACTTAGTTGCATAATTTGTTTGTTTCTTAATAAAAACCACGAATTCTAGGCTAATTCCCTAGGTTCCATCACAAACAGCAACTATCTTTTACCAGTAATTGTCTGTAATATATTCATAAAAAATGTATAAACTTCATTTACCATATAGAAAATCAACAATTCATGAAAAAGAATGGAAAAAAAGAAAAGAAATTTCAGAAAATAGAGGGACTGAGCCCCTATTTTTTGTCCTAGGAAAGAAGAAAATAAATGATGAAAAAAGAAGATCAATATGTATCGATTGGATAAAATCTTGAGTTTTTCCACAAAAGAAATTTCAGAAAACAGAGTTTCCTTGCTTATCAATTCAGTTATTAAAGTCATTGAGGGTTAAAGACAGTATACACGTTCATTGAACCCTAATCAAAACAAATAAGAAAATAATACAAATAAACTAGTATATCAACTAACAAACTAAATAATTTAGTTCAATAATCTAAAAATAAGAACATAAAAGATTAGAATTGCACATTGTACAAAATACCATGGTGATTATGCGAGGCGACTATAGGAGACTCTTCGGCCCCACTTTCCCAAACTGATTGGGAATCCATTATAGTAGCAGCAGTGATAACAGAATTGGAGAGGTTTAGACAACTTATGAGTAAGAAAGATTCACCTAGCTCTAGTCTTCCAGATGGACAGCAGAATGCAGGAGCCAACTACACCACTTCCTTTGCACATACAGGTAGTTCATATGCAACTGCAAATCTTGCATCCACTTTAGGTAAGGAGGGATCTCCCTAGATTATAGACTCAGGAGCATCTGAGCACATGACTAATGCCCCTACCCTTCTCAATTCCTATCGGTTGTGCTCTGGTAGAGACAAAGTCTCTACAACAGATGGTTCACATATGCCCATTGCTGGGAAGGGGACAGTTAGAGTGACCAATGATATAACTTTGTCTTTTGTTTTACATGTCCCTAGACTTCATACCAACCTATTGTCTGTTAGTTCTATTTGAATTGTTTTGTGACCTTTCTTCCCGGTAATTGTGTTTTGTAGGATCTGGAGTCAAAGAAGATGATTGGGAGTGGTCGTGAGGTGAATGGAGTCTACCTTGGATGAGATTCCGAGACATCAGGGCCATCATGTTAGCAGCAACAGTAGTAGTGGGTCAGAGTCAGTGAACCAGATTATGCTTTGGCACAATCGCTTAGGACATCTTTCTTTTAGTTCTTTGAAATGTCTTTTCCCAAAGTTGTTTGAATCTATTCAGTTATCTACTTTGGAGTGTGAGAGTTGTCAATTAGGAAAGCATTGTAGATAGTGTTTTAAACCAAATAATAAAAGTACTTTTGCTTTTAATATTATTCACACTGATGTATGGAGGCCATATCATATCCCTTCTATGGGAGGATTCCGTTACTTTCTCTTATTTGTGGATGATTATACACGATATTCTTGGATATATTTGATGAGATCACGTGATGAGGTTCCTAACTTGGTATGACAGTTCCACCAAATGGTTCTCACACAATTTGGAGTGAGAACTAAGGCTTTTAGATCAGATAATGCCAAAGAGTACTTTGAGAAGGATCTGACCACGTATCTCTTAGAACATGGTGTAGTTCATTACCTGAGCCACTACGGGCAGCCTCACAGAAATATCAACACTGGAAGATGATGGTTGACTCCACACATCCTCAACCCACACCACTCTCTGTCAATCCTTTTGAAACTCCAAATTCGGTAGATACAGTTCCAAGTATTCCTCTTGAGCCTAAGCCTGTTATGTTTTCTGATGATAATGTTCCTATCCCTAACACCATTGTTGCAGCTGATCCCACTGACCTTGATCTTCCCATTGTACTTTGTAAGGGGAAGAGAGAGTATGCAACCCACTGCATTTCACACCATCTTTCCTACAGTGCCTTATCACCCTCCTACCATGCTTTTCTTTCTTCCCTGGATTCTATGTCTATACCCAGAAATGTTACTAAGGTTCTCTCCAAACTTGAGTGGAAAACAACCATGCAAGATGAGATGGATGCTTTGGTCAAAAACCAAACTTGGGAAATAGTTGATCTCCCCCCAAAACAATGAAACAGTCGGATGTAGATGGGTATTCACAATGAAGTATAAGGCCAATGGCAAAATAGAGAGACAAGGCAAGGTTGGTAGCAAAAGGGTATACTCAGACCTATGGTGTTGATTATCTGGAAACCTTTGCACCAATAGCTAAGATRAGTTCARTTYGTATCCTTTTATCTCTAGYAGCCACCTATTCATGGCCCTTGTTCCAGTTTGATGTCAAAAATGCCTTCCTCAATGGTGATTTATAGGAGGAGGTATATTATGGACATTCCAACAAGCTTTTATGAAAATGTTGGTAAAGGAAATGTGTGCAGACTCAGAAAACCTCAATATGGACTGAAACAGTCACCTAAGGCTTGGTTTGACAGGTTCAAAGGGGCACTCATCCGTTTTGGACACACACAGACACAATCTAATCACACCCTCTTTGTGAAGAGGAGAGATGCTCTGGTGTCAATTCTGATTGTGTATGTGGATGATATAGTGGTGACAAGAAATGATCTAAAGGAAATTAATGATCTCAAAAAATCATTGTAGCAAGAATTTGAGATCAAGATTTTGGTGAGTTTAGATACTTCTTGGGGATTGAAGTTGCAAGATCCAAGCATGGGATCTTCATTTCACAAAGAAAGTATGTACTTGACCTAYTGCGRGAGAYTGGGAASMTGGGGACCAAACCAGCAGACACTCCTATTGATCCAAATCACAGAATTAATGGTGTGGATGGTGAGTTGGTAAAGGATGTGGGGAGATATCAAAGAATGGTGGTCGACTGTTGTATTTGTGTATGATACGACCAGATATTTCTTACACTGTTAGTGTTGTGAGTCGGTACATGCATGCACCTCGGGTTCAGCACTGGGAAGCTATTGAGAGAATAATTGCATATCTAAAAAAGCACCTTGGCAGAGGCATTCTTTTCTCAAATAATGAGAATTTGAAGCTAGAATCCTATACAGATGCAGACTGGACAGGATGCTTTGATGACAGGAGGTCTACATCAGGAGTAGGTGGAAACTTGATCTCCTAGAAGAGTAAGAAGCAAGCAGTTGTGGCAAGGTCAAGTGAAAGGCTGAGTATAGATCCATGGCTCATGATGTCTCAGAACTTCTTTGGGATAGATCTCTTTTGAGTGAGATTGGGGTGAAAGCAGAGAAACCTATGATGTTATACTGTGATAGGACAAAACACATTGAAGTTGATAGACACTTTATACGAGAAAGGGTAACAACCGGAGAAGTTTGTTTGCCTTATGTCTCTTCAGAATTGCAGCTGGATGATGTTCTCACTAAAGGGGTGGCAAAGAACAAGCTTGAACATGATCTACGCAAGTTGGGAATGTGTGACATTTACTCCCAACTTGAGGGGGAGTGTTGAAGATTAATTAGTTTTATGATGTTTTTCTGAGTAGATGTTTTATGTTAGTTGTTAGATAGGAGGTGGGGACCACAGTAGTTATGTGRGTCCAAATTTTATTATGTTTTTGAGTGTTATATATGTTGTTTTATGTTTTGCCGCCCTATAAGGGCATAGTTGTCTTTGTACTATTCTTATTTTTAGTATAAATAATAAGTGAAGGGGGCGGCCAGATTATTGCTCTCTCTTCTTCTCTTATTCTCTTCTTCTCTTATTCTCTTCTTCTCCTTCTCTCTTCAATAAACAACTTTTCTTTCATATTTTTTAATTCAGTAGATTTCTACTCTGGAGAAGCAAAAAGCAGAATGTGGTAGCTAGATCTAGTGTTGAAGCTGAATACCAGGCAATGTCTCATGGAGTGGCTGAAAAATTTGTTGAGTTGAGTTTTCCAGTTGAAGGACCTATGACACTATTCTGTGATAATAAAGCAACCATAAGCATTGTTGCTAATCCAGTGTTGCATGATAGAACTAAACACATCGAAGTTGACAAACACTTCAGAAAAGGTCGTCACAAAAGAAGTGTGTACTCCTTATGTTAGCTCTGAAGATCAACTTGCAGACATCTTTACAAAAGGGTTACACCACTCACGGCATCATGATGTATGTGACAAAGTTGGGGATGATTGACATCTATGTCCCAACTTGAGGGGGAGTGTTAAAAGACTGTTATTTATCTAAGTATAGTACCACAGGGGTACTCTTGTGATTTCCTCCTTTTATTTTTTATGTTTCGTCACCCTAGTATATATATCAAAAGCTGGCGCCGCCAGCAGCACTTTTGGCTCTAAGTTCTCTCTTATCTCTTCTTCTCTCTCACTCTTCTCTCTTCTTCCATTCTTCTCTCCTGCACAACAGCCCGCAAGAGATATCCGGATGATGGACACTTCTTCTTTCCAGATTAGATCTAGAAAGACACTTATCTAGAGCCATTGCCCAAACCAGAAAATTAGATTTTGAGGGAGTGATCAGATTCCAGATTTGACTGAAAGAGAAGCATGTAGAACCTGAACTGCTAAGCTTGAGGGCCAGAGATTTGACTGGGAAGCAGACATCACCATTCTACTTCCAGTTCCACTCTTCCTCCAGGTTAATATTTATCCCCTGTCCCTGTAAGAGCTCCAGCAACTCCGCAATCTCATCCAACTCCCACTCAAACAGGTTCCTTCTAAATTGAGGGGTCCAGGTCAGCCCATTTTCAGAGACAATGTAAGAATCAGCCACCGAA